CAAAAAATCCTCTAGGAGATAAATATGGTAAAAGAGTCATACTTGTCTTAGCCAATATTGATATAATCTCAATTCCATAGATTATTGCATTTGAAGAACTATTCTGGAACTATTCAGAGAACATACTTATGATGGGGTAAATGAGTAGAATATGATTTATATTTAAAAGGTCACTCTGTGTACCAGTACATATTGCTAAAAAATATATTTCATCGTATGACCAGCTGGCTGAACGTCTTAGTATGATACAGCAGCATAGTGGTACTGTACAGTTTGAAGGAAATGCTAAATTCAGATCCTGGCTCCAGCTGAAAGGCTCAGGATGCCATGACTTGCTGCTTGGGGCACTTGCTGAAGAGGAAAGCAAAGTTCAGAGTTCCATCCAGACCCAGAGTCCCAAAGTCCCTATTTTCCTGCTGCCAGGAGCACTCGTTTTGCCCTACTTGTTTGACTAGGAATGAATGGGACTGGCTTGGTTTTCTTCCAGACTGGTTTTATTTTGCCTCATTATAAACTTCACCATGTACTGTCCTTTCCCCTGCCTTATCTCCTCGTCTCCTTCAAGGGCAATGCTGGAATGTTAGAGGGGTGCTTTTGCTGGGAGCTGTTCTGAGCAGAGAAGACAGGCAAAAGTGATCCTTTATCCTGCTTGGTGTTTCAAACAGCTTCCGCCTGTGGGGAGGGGATGTATTGAGAATGTGTGAGAGAAAACACTGAAAAGGGAAAAAAAGCACAAAAAGGGAGGAGAAAAAAAAAGTACAGCAAGGAAGCTAGAGACAAACTTCAAGTTGTGGATTATTTCTCACCCAGGCTCTAATTAGGAAGCCTCTTATGGGACCGTGAAGCTGTCAGGCTGCCAAATGTCAGCGTGTTTATCGGAGATCAGGCGAGTCTCCTGTCTGCAGCAGTGAGTTTGGTGCCGTGATCCTCCTGGGTCCTTCCAGTGTGTGTGACTCACTCGGCACTGGCACCTCTGGGGGCTTCGAGGTGCAGCAGAGGGCTCCTTCTTCTTCTCTTAAAAACCCCAAAATAAGCCCTTTCCTGGGATTTGGCCTCTTCATGCTGGTTCTGCTTGGAGAGGGTTAACCATACAGTGCAGAGCAGCTACAGCTTATGTGACTCAGATTCCCAGGGAAATCCCCAGCTTATCTGATGGAGCCTGTTAGTCTGCTAATTGAATAAGCTCCTATTAAAAGTGCAATGTTTTTTAATGACTGCTAGCAAGGGGCCAGATTCTGATCTGATCTTTTTGCTTGGGATGGTTTTTGCTGCTGGTCGGGCCCAGCCCCTGATTGCAGCTGGGTGCTGAAGCCAATGCACTGGCTCCAGGGCTTTTTTGGGGTGCGGGTGAGCTACCGGCTGGTGTAACAGGCAGGAAGCTTTTATTTGGGATCTTTAGGAAGAGGCAGAATGCTGCAGTGCAGCCAGCAGAGAAAAGCATTTGTTGGGAAGCTACCAAGGATTTCATGTAACATAATTGCTGTGAATATTTTTTATGTGATTTGAGCCATGCTCTGAATAATTAACTTTCCCGGTGTTGAAATCAGGTTGATTTGTTGATTCTGCACATAAGATTTTGTCTGTGTCTGCCTAGAAAAAATGTTGTGTATGGCTCTGCATAGGCACATTCAAACCCTAATTTTAATTGGAATTATGTGTATAACATCTGTATCTCCTTTTTCTCAACAGGAATTGACTTTGAGAAGGTATTTGCCTAAGAGGAAAATTTTAAAAAATGTGATTAGCATTTAAAGTTAACTTAGTTGGGTTCCATGGTACTTCCGAAGGAGACTGTAACACCTCTGGTTTCAGCTAGGCTCAGGGTGGGGTTGAGCTCTTTTGCATGACCCTGTGACCATATTTGCCTTCCTTTTCTTACCTGAAATTCCCAGTGGGTTACCCAAGCCTACGTGACACCAGAACATTGTAAAGTTTTCTAATAAGACTTTTTTTTGTTTCTTCTTGCAAGCCAGGAATGAGATCTGACCATCTTTGCCCCCATACATCTCCACATCTACTCAGTTCCTTTGAGTCCCTTTTGCCTTCCTCCTAGGAAAGTTTTTATTAAAATGCAGGAGCTTTTTTAGGAGGTCCCACACATTCACACTGGCACTGAGCTGCTGCTTTAAAAGTTTCATAGCAACCCGTAAGTTGTGTTTTTTTCCACACAATAACAATAACGAAGTGTCAAAAATCTCAAGCTGCTGTTATCAGAGGCAAAGTCTAAACCCCATTTCTCAGCCTGTTTTCTATTCCCCACTCTCGAGTTGTCAGATGCTGTGACATGGCTCCATCACACCATGACTAGCAGTCCCAACAAACAGAAAATGATTTCCAACTGGCAAACATGCTGTTTACTTTCCAGAAAAATTGCACTTTCCCATCTGACAGCTGATCAAGGGATCTCCTGCTGCTGTCAGCATGAAGAAGTGTTTAAACACAGGGATGGAAGTTTAAACATTTTCTCATTATCACAGAATAAAAAAAAAATTAAAAAATAATAAAAAATAAAGGCATTGAGTCTCTCCGACCACCTGCTGTGCCAGTAATGAAGAGATGTCACATGACCAGCCGGCAAGGACTTTTATCTCTGCCCCAATATCATTACTGAAGTGACACCTGTCACATGACCCGCATCAGAGCTTTCATCTGGGCTCCCCAAATGCAGTTCTGGCTTGTGAGAGGGATTTTCCTGGCATTTCCCTCCCCCACAGATGCTTTAAAGAGCATTGCCCACTTGCACCATTACAGACAGGGGTTTGCTAGTTTTAAAGCCCTTGGATCTTTTCTTGGGCATATATAATTTGGCCAACAAACTTGCTCAAGGCTGAAACAAAACAGAATCCTGGCCTGGGAAAGAAGTTATTTCATTTACTTCCAGATGTTCTTAAAGCAAATATTTAAGTCTGATGTTAAATTCTCTTCACATAAAGGAGGATGTTAAAAGATTTCTCAAAAACCTCAGATTTGTTTTTGGTTTTTTATTAGGTGATCAGGAGAAACAGTTTGATGACCCATAAGCACAATGATCTCCATTTACATGCACTTTATAAACTCTCACCTGCTTTACCAAAGCATCCTGCCCCTGCCAAAAGAAAGTATTTTCTGGAAAAAAAAAAAAAAATGTCAGTCCTGCACCTCTCTGCCAACGTCTGGGACTTTTTGTGAGGTGTTTGACAGTAAACATTTGGATTTGTGATGGGCCCATATAAATTACAGCAGTACTGAGCACTTACTTGCCACAACCCATTCAGTTATTATCTCAAAACAACATCAGACATTCAAATGTGACAGAGGATGATCACCCCACAGGAACTAGATGTGAGCAGGCTGGAGATAAGAGAATATGAACTTCATGGATTTTTCCACCTCCTCCTTTCCTACCTCACACTCATCCATGAATGAAGTCTGGGGTACTTTTCTCCCTCCATAATCTGATTCAGCTAACTACAACAATGAAAAACTCACAAAAGAGTTCATAGTCTTCCATCTGTGTTCCATAGTGAATTAAATAATTTCTTCAAGGATTAGAAGGGTGCCAGAAAGGAAAAGAGAAAGACTGTAAAGCTTGAAGCAGGGAGAGAAATGGGGGAAGCAAAACTGCCTTTTTGGGTGGCACTAACTTGGTACATGAATTCAGACATGTTTCTTGTTACCTATTCTTTCTGACTCATTACAACACTACATCCATTTTCCTCAAAAGCTGTTGCCCCTGAGATTGTGCAGGCCAGGGGATGGAAAAATCTACTGAAACCAGTACTCCTGATGTAAATAGTATTCCCATCCCATTAGCTGAGGATAGGAGTGGTTTGGAGACAGTTTCTCTTTGATCTGGCATGTTTTAGGCATTGGACCTACAATGTCAAGTTAATGAACAGAAGACTGCTGGATTGCAGCATTTCCAGGGTCTTCCTGGCTTTCTACCCCTCTAGATACAGAATTTAAAGGTATCATTTGACTCTTTGGCAATTTAGCATGTGGCTAAATTTAGCAATGGCCATTATAGGGTGGTAGCTATGTAAAACAGCAAAGCCATTCTGTCCCACTGCTCCAGGGCAGAAGAAATTTACAATTGATGCTCTGGATAGACCATGAGGAAAAGTGACTCAGTTCTCATCATTAGATCCCTCACTGCCCATGCATAACAAATCCTTTCATTTAATGTATCTTGAGCATTTAGTTGCTCTCAATTATGAGCAAACATTCAGCCACAACCATCCCACTGCAGGCCCTGGATATCCTGCTTCTTCACTTCTCTAAGTCCAGACATCTCCAAGAATGCAGAAGGAATGCAAAACAACCCCTATCCCAACTTGGGCATCATGTACAGCTGCTCTGTTCAGTATTGCAAAGGGAGGTCAGGTCATTGAGAGTGGCTTTGGGAGATCCAAGTCCACACAATCTAGAGGCAGAAAGACTTCTGGGACATAGCTTGCCTTTTCATGAAGGCAGAGAATTGTAAGGAACATAACCCAAGGAAAATCTTGTCCTCTCAACTGAGCAGTGCCTGCAGATAGTCTATGTCCCCTTTAATGTAGCTAATCTATGCATTCCTGAAATTATGTCTGTAGCAAGGGCAAAGGGGAACATAAACAGTTGTGCTGCTTCCTGCCCAGATCTGCAGTGTGTGTTTGCTAAGTGATGGACTGGAGTAAGGCTGGAGATGCTGCTCTCACACTAAAAGCTCACCTTTCAGTTGTTTCTATGGCTGCTACCCATAGCTCCTGGACTGGTTTTGTCCCAGTGCCTCAATGCTCTGCATAATTCTTGCTCAGAGAAGTTCTCCCAGTCATGCCAGTGACACTACTCAGATAAATAAAAATATTCAAGAAGGTTTGTATGTCTGCACCTCAATGATTTATCTCTGTCTTTTCTTCCCAGAGGTGCTGTAGGGTTACACCAAGGCTACTGGCTTCTATGTCCCAGAGCCAAGAAAAAGTATCCAAGATAACTGAAACCAAGCAGACTAGTACTTGAACACAGTAAATGACTTGCTTTCCCAATCCTTCGAGGAAGAATTCCATGAGAAATTTCACAGTAACTGCAGTTGGGAAAGAGGTCTCTGATTTCCCCATGTATCCCCATCAGCACTCACCTCAGATTAACTTTCCTCCTCATAGTATGTCAGCAGCCTTGAGATCAAAGAGATTAAAACACTGTGGAAAGTCATGAATAAACCAGGACTCTCTGCAACAGTTGGACCAAAAATGGACTGCATTTGGCTGCATCTTAATTCTCTGCCATCTCCTCTCTGCTCATCAACACCTGCACACGTTTGGGATGCTGTATAAAACCCCTGAATTCAGCTCTAAGCAACCAGTCTGCAATGCACATGTCTAATGCTCTGCTGGTGTGGAACCAGTACGCTGGTAATCCTGTTAGTAATGGCAGAAGGTCCCTCTAGGAAATTATAACAAATAGTCTTAAACAATTCCTTTTGTTGACAACTCTATCCAAGAAACCATCTTCCCTGGAGACTTCACTCAACTTTTGACTAATCCCCTCCTTCCCTCAGGAGCTCTTTTGTTGAAGGAGATTGTAGGCATACCCCAGGAATGACAGGTCTCTGTAAGCCTTGGATGAGCCTCTACATTCTTTCAATTGTCACTCCCCATCTGTCCTGTTTGTACATCGATCTTCTGGTCCAGGGAGCTCTCTATTAAGTGACACATGGCTGAGTATATTCTGCAAGTCCAGTGTCCAGACTGTGCTGTTACATCTTCTTTGCCAAGTCAATCCTTCTGACATTGCTTTCTGAAAAACAAAAGGCAGGACATCTGCACAATTTCAATCTCTTCTACTAAAAGGTGACTTTTAAAAACACACACCCCACCCCTCAAACTGTGCCCTTGGTTTAAAATCTCAAAGATTTTTCTTCATTTTGTCAACATAAGGAGTTATTTCAAAGATCCTTGGTGCAAGAGAGGGTACAATCTGCCTCTATTGCAGAGGAATTCTATTAGGGTAAAAATCCATGGCCTAAGTCCTGAATCAAAAAGAAAAATAAATCCCAATTACAAATATTCTGCAGGGCTAATGCCTTCAGTCACTCTGCTTGTTAAAAGCTGGTTTAAAACAGGCTTTTCTCTTCCTGTAGATTCAAGTACCCTTAGCTGGTACAGTATCACATACATGTAGGAGGCACATCATTAGTTATCTGAGTATTTATTTTGAGAGGCAGAATGAGAACAGTAGCAGATTCCAATGACCCATATGTTCCTCCTCAGCAGGTAGAGGGAAAGTGGTGGGTGGAATAGGGTAGAAAATGGGTGGAGTGTTGGCATGAAGTATATATCACCCTGGGATAGACTACTGACAGTATCTCATCTCTTCCTGAAACCAGAAGGAAAACAAGGAGGAGTCTGTGATGATGTTTTGTCCCTTGCTGTGTTGCTCAGGGCCCATGGATTCAAGATGGAGCCTGGTATGTTTAGTTTCTTGGTTTTGTCTATTTTTGTAACTTAACTCAGGTTGGCAAATGAAGGAAGGTTTCATTATGTTCCCAGGAAATTCCATTCTCTCATATGCCAGCGTGAGGCTGTTGTGCTTTAGATGCCTATCTACCTCTCATTAGATTTGAAAAAGCATACAGAACCCCCTGCTTTCCATTGGTAGCCTATTAAAATGACAAAAAAATTACAGTTTCATTTATAACCTTGCTTGCATGTCTGAATCCAGATGCCTTTTTTAAAAAGAGAATTAATAATATGAACACCATAACATATAGAATGTTTTCCTGCAATGACCAGAAGAAAACTTAAAGCTTGTTTAGTATGCTTTGTAAGCAGCTGAAAAAGAGGGACACAAATATAAAAAAATGTTTAAGAGTTTCTCCTACTAGTTGCAAGTTTTCACTATTTTAAATTATATATTTATGAAATGCTCTCTAAATCATTTAAAATGGGCCAAATCCAAGTTCATTGAACACTAATGCATGGGTACCTTCCTCGAGTGAGTTGTTCCCAGAAGCCTTAGTGGAACTGACAGCCAGCTTTTCTGGCAGGATTAGTTCCTCTCTGATCACAGAGAGGGAACAGCCATCCTGTCTGCACTCAGCTGAGCAGGTGAGCAGGGAAGGCATTCAGGCTGCTTCCAAACTCAATCTGGTCACAGCACTGGCAATATCAGGTCTTTCTTAAAAGGATTCCAGGCTGGCCTCTGCCTGCTGTTGTCTACGTGATGAGGGCAGAAGGGATAGAGAGGCTGTGAGACCAGGCACTGAGTGCTGGGACCTGATCCTATAACAGGTACAAGTATTAGAAAGCACGGATGGGTAGCTGAGGTGTGTCCTGCTATCCTAAGGTTGCCTCTTAGCTTGGCAGACAGTAAGACAGTCAAACTAATTTGGCCTCAAAATCAGTTTCCAGGTCTGCCCTGCAAGCACAGACTCAGCAGTGACTCTGACAAGACACATGCTGCTAACAAATGCACAGAGTAAACAAAGAGACAGGATATAATAAAATAATATTTTCTGGTAATTTCTTTCAATAACAGTGATTTTAAGTGAGCTTTTGGTCCTCTGTAACAAAAAGATGAACAGTACTGATGCTGAAGCATCATTTTGAAGCATGACATTAAAACAGTGATTAATTAAAACAAAAGATTTTACAAGATATGGAGATTTTGCCTAGCTCTGCTCGGGTTCCAATGTGTGTGAAATCAAAACAAGTAAGCTATGAAACGTGAACTTGGTAGGAAAGGACAAAGGAGAAGAAAGCAATTTGATCAGTTTAAGCAATAGGGAAATGAAGCAATACTTTGACTGGGTAGGCATTGGAGGAAAGGGCACTGGTCTGATACTTGGCAATATGACAAAACAAATCCAAACCTCCCATGATACCACTGAACATTGCTCATTGGGGGCCATTGGCTTGCTGATCTCTTCTCTCTGAATGTCAGATTTCCCACTTTGTTCTTACCCTGGAATGTGATCATCCAGCCCTGAGTATCAGATCTATTTTCCACCTTCAGTACATGAAGAAATTAATGTGCTAAGGGTGATGGCAGCAGCTTTGACAATGGCAACTACATGCTTACCCAAGAATTATTCAATCGTCCATTACTTCTACCAAAACTTGCTCGAACCTTGTGGGACATGGCCTCTTCGGTAAGAAGCAAACAGGTCACAGATTTCAGGTTGCAGTCTCACCCCTGGAACTGTGAGCACTGACTGTCCTGTGGAAAAATCAGGTTAAAGAGAAAGCTCCAAAAGGATCTTTTTCCTTCATTGTGCTACTTTCTTAATGCTCTCCTGTGACATTAGCCACAATATAAACTAATTCAGGATCCTATTTCTCACAGCTGCATTCCTTCTGATTGTTTTTGGAAAATTATTTCTTTAATCTAGACACTCTTCTCTAGAAATCTCATCTGCGGTTTCTTTTCTTTTTTCTTCTTCTTTTTATTGGAGCAACCAGCAAAATACTATTTGGTAGAACAGTGGTAGGAATGCAACGCGCTAATCAAAAGGATTCAAATGGATCTGTGCACTGCCAAGCTCTCTCCTTCCCACCCAGCAGAGGGGAAAAAAAGAAAAAGAAAAAAGAGATAGAGCGAAGGCACGGGGCTTCTCTCCTTCAGCAATCTCACAAATGCAAAACCTTCCACTCCAGTGACTCCTCATTAACTTACCAAATCTGACAGTCTAATTATCGTAGCTGCTTCACGCTTAGAATAAATAAATACTAAAGTGGGTGTTTAAAGAAATTGAGCAATGAAATTCAGTCATCTAGACAGTCAATAGAGAGTTTATTTTAAATTTTTATATTCTTATGTATTTATATCATTTTCAGAAAGATAATGAGTTAGTTGTCTTTCAGGCTAATTGAGTTCCTATGCTCATGGTTGCTTGCTGTCACAATCTCAAACTTAGCTTTAACTTTTGTGCCTTAGGAAAGCACAAACCTGATCACTACCTCCCCATTTACTCTTTTCTGCTGATAACTGGGTGAAGTCAGAAGTGCGCCTGAGGATGAGAAACGATTATGTGAGACTTCCAGTCTGGATGTCTTTCACAGCAAACAAGACAACTAAATCTTTTCAGATTTGCATTTAAGAGTGTAAAAGGGAAAATGGAAGTTAAAGAAACCTCAGCTATAACTTGTAATTAGACAAACTACAGAAAAACATCTGCTAACCTCTGATGCAATAGTGTCTGCCTCCACGAATGGTATTAACAGCGCTCCCCCCAAGAGTGGTTTGTCTCCCCGAACAATAAGACCTTTATAGAGATTCTCTGGCCTGAGATCAATGGGAGTCAGAGCATTTGATCCATGTCTGTAGGACTTTGTTTCCACAAGTCATGTGGGCCAAACTTTGCGCCAGTTGCTTTTGCAAGAGCAGGAGCTGGGGAGTGAGCAAAGGAAATTTTCCCTCTTTTCCCATCTTCCCCTTTGCCCTGTGCTCCTAAACAGTGCCCAGCACAATGCCTGCTCCAGGACAGCATGCGGGGAAGAGCTTAAACAGGGCAACATGTCCAGAGAGTCCTGTGCACTTTGCAAGCATCTGCTGTGATGTTGCAACAGCTCTTTCCTAGGGTAGTGGCTTAATGACAGAATCCAAAACTTTAATGTCAGTATGAAGGCAAGCAGATCTTCCACAACTGTGGGGATCACACCAGGTGAAGTGAGGGATGGTTTTCCAGAGTTGGGTGAAGATTTGTTTTATCTCCTCACAGATAAGAATGCTTCTGGCTTAGGAGGGGCAACTCCTGCTCATCATGAGCTTTGGCTTATTCCTGTATTAAGACACATTATAAACCAGATTCATACACCTGAACAGTAGGAACTTTCTAGGTGTCTGTATCTGACTAGCAGTGAAGGATATCTATTTGCTGTGTACAGATTTCACAAAGCAGAGTGGTAAAAAAAAATAAAAATCAAGTGACTGTATAAAGCTTTTAGATATGTAGGAGAACCTAGGGAAACCAGCCAAGCCAAACAAGGGGTCATGAAAGGCAGCTCTTCTTTCTATGTCCCCTGCGATAACATTCACCAGTGCTGGCTAATCCCAACAGTAATGGGGTTTTTAAGGCTTGCAGCCTTAACCTCCTCACTGCCCACACTTGCTTACTTGCTTTGTCTTAGCTTAGATGCAACAGACATTAAAATGACTGTCAACATTAAGCCTCCATCCTCCTTGTCTCAGAAAGGCTGAATAGTGGGCTGTTTCAGGAGAAATGGTATAGTGTCTTCATCACCTGGTGCACTGGTTTTGTGTTGCTGGGGGAGGTAATTAGAGACCAGTTGTATCCAAAAAGAGCAAGCACGTCCTAGTCAAAGCCAGGATCCCATCCATGCAACACACAATCCTCCTCATGGAGCACATACTGGAACTGCTAACTGCTGTGCTGAGGGTATGGCCAGGTTTGAACATCTCTACTGAGACTGGACATTGGTCCAGTGGGGAAAGGATCTGAGCTGGCAGCTCAGGCCTCCCTGGCTCCTGTGCCTGTGTGTTTTGGCTAGAGCTCTTCTTGCAGTGTGTTTTCTTGGGAGTGCTCTGTTGGTAACCCCAAATCCCACTGCTTACCTTCCCTGCTTGCAAGCCTGCTCTAAAGCATCAGAGGGCAAAAGAGAGGGAAAATAAACCAAATCTACAACTAAGAATAATAAGCTGCAATTGTTAATGTGTCTGACCTGTCTGACAGCAGAGTGAGATACCTCCTCAGAAGGCCCTTTGCACTTCAGGAGTGACACTGAGTTGAGAGCACAGCTCATGCTCTCTTGATTCAAGGATCTCATCTTTCTTCCAGGAGGGATTAATTGGACAGAAAACATTCTGCTTTAGCAGGTGGCAAAGGGTTAGACTGAAGTTTTATCAGAGCTGCTGCAGTGCAGGGCTGCACTGCACAGAGATAATTGTCTCAGGATTGGCTTCGGCCAGAAAAAGGACAGCAAATGCTCCGGTTTTACAAAAGGTCATCACTGCCACCCCTTAGGCTACCAGCCACACTGAAGAGAAGCTGAATAAACTCCTGCACTTCTCTCTGTTTTTATATCCAGAGGTGCTGGTGGCACATGTAGGATTAAGGCAACCAAGATAATCAACAAGGTTTGAACCCAGGCCTCAGTAATCCCCTCCTAGAGCTAGAGGCACAGGAGTGAGCAGCTGTGGGCCAGCCCCACTCAGAGGACAGAGAATCTTCTTCCTCCCTTAGAGCATGGGCTACTCTTTTTTTTCCAGCACTTTGTGCTCAGATGAGCACAGCAACAGCCACCTGTTCTATTCTCTAGGAGCTGGCCACTGGGAAGTGAAGAGCCCTGAGCTCCCTCTCTCCCATCCCAGGGGCAGCAGCCAGCCTCTAACCATTAGCATTCCCCCTAGTAATCAGAATCATGCTATTTGGAGGGGTACTTAACTTTGAAACAGTGATTTCTCCAATTATTTTTTCCCAGGAACTGACCTTTGAAAAACATCCTCTGTTTTTCAAGCTTCCTGCTTGTCATAACAACTTATAAAAAGAATGGTTATGGATACAATTATTTCATAAAAACAGAGAATAAATTCTTATGAGAACCTTTTCTTTTTTCAAATGTTGTTTCCTTCTTACTGTCTCACATACCTTGGGATCAACCCCCTCTTCTTTCACCTTTCATCTCCAGATCATTCTTTGCCCTTCTGCTTTAATTTTCACCTTCAGAGGATGGCAACTAATAGCCAGCATCCTCTAGAACAAAGTGCGAACAGAATATATTTAAAATCTGCACTGTTATCATAGCAACAAGAATTTTAAAATGGTACAGTTAAATTCCAAAACAGTGTTATGCCAAAGTGACACAAGAGAGCAAATGTCTTAAACAATTATGGCTATAGGAATGGCTACATGGGGAATTATTCAGAATTGCCTAAATGTTACAGGCTTAATGAGTCACTCATGAATATGGTCTTGCACGATCGTACTGTACTTGTTTCAGCCCTTTGCACTTTGATTCTGTTCTCAACACATTGGTTGCTATGATAACGCCATGCAGTTTCCTGTCCACAAGGTACTTCTTGCTGCAATATGGGGGATAATAAATATGGGATGGTGCTTAAACCCAGGTGAAATGAATCTGTCCCCTCACTGGCAGCATATGGGAGAGATTGACACGTTATGCCAATCTGTTTTCTCATTCCTTCTATTTCTCTTCACTCTCTCCCTTTCTCTCACACTGTCTGTCTCTGTACCTGTTTTTTTCCACTCTCTCTCTCTCTCTCTCAGCACTGACACTTTCATCTTCTCCCTTGGGGATTGGAGATGTCACTGCGGGAAGTGCTTGTCCGCCTCTCTGGCAGCAGCAGAGCCCTGTGGCTTTGACAAACCTCATTTAATTGGGAGGAAGCCAGGAGGGTTTGAAAGAACTGAAACATCCACGAAACTCCTTTTATCAGGCATAATTTAAACTCTGCATGGAAAAAACCCTATATGTATAAAGAAAAGTCAACTTCCCTCCTGCTGTGCGTGCTCCCCTCCTCCCCCGCCGGCACAGGCAGGCTCCTGCGAGATTCCATCTTTTCATTTTTCTAAAAGTGTCAAAGTAGATTTGTGCTCTGTGGCTGGGTGAACAGAAAAGGAATGCAGATGTCTCTCACTCAAGCACATACACACACAGAGCACCTTCTGAAGGGCAGCAGTTTGGGGGATTGGGAGAGATCCTAGCTGGCTGCTCCTCCACTTGGGATGTGTCACAGGAGCCAGAAATTTGGATTTCCAATAGCTGGACAACACATGAGCCACGAAGGCTTTTTCTCAGTTGCCCCTATCTTAAAAACCACCACCAAACTAACTAGTGTACAGGGTGCCCAGGAGGCAACAGGGAATGCAAGGTCCCTTTGGCTTGCAGCCCAATAGGAGGGAGCTTTTCCTAGAGAGGAGCAGAACTGCAGCTTGAGACACCCTGTATTTATTCTCAGCTGAGGCCAGAAGAGGCAGAACTGTGTGTGCTTAAGAGAAGGGAGTGAGGGAAGAAGAAAATAAAGCAGGTAAAACTGAAGGAGAACTGGTGTGACAGGGTACAAGGAACAGCTGTCTCAACATCAAAAGGGAGCGGGAGGAGCAGTCCAAGGGAACTGGGGCTAGCACACCATGCTGAGCAGATGGGAATTCAGGACATCAGGAGGGACCAGCAGGTGAGTTACACTGAACACACAGTGTGAGCTGGGGAAACGTTCAGGCCCTTTGGGTTACAGAATGAGGGGGGATGACCTGTCAAAGCATGTACACCTCTGCTTTGCAGGTGGACCATGGCAGCAGCCCATCAAGGTCCCCTTCTAGTATTAACACAGGGGGCAAGTAGAGGAAAACAGAAAAGCAAGTTGTCAAATTTGCCACAGGATGTAAATCTTGCAGCATACAGGAGTGGGGAGGGAGAGCAGGCAGAAAAGAGAGACATCCAGCTGAATGGCAGAGATTTTCAAAATAGTGAGGAAACTCCCAGTAAATAGCACGTGAAGCAGCTCTTTCTTGGTGAGATGAAATTGAGAGTTAACTTACCAACAGGAACTTTGTAGAGCTGTTGAGGCAGAGGGCTGAAGAAGCCATGAAGAAGTGCATCTTGTGCAGAGATTCGGCCTCGAGGGAAGGCCGTGAGCATCCTGGAGGCCAAATTCTCTGCTGCTGGCACCCTGCTTATCCTAGGCAAACAAGAAAAAACAGCACAGGAGATGAGGACGAGCCAGAAAGCTGGAACCAGAACACGACCCAGCCCCTCTCAGCTTGAGGCAAAGGTAGTGGAGGGACACAGGGGAGCTGGATAAACCCATTCCAGCTTTATAGCTTTTCCAGACATTTGCTTTTCCATCTGAGTTTGACTATGTTGGGGTATATGCATCCAGGATTTCAGCTCAAACTTATATTTACAGACAAATTTTGAAAACAAATTTCTGTTTTTTAAAAAGAAGATTATAAGTGAAAGGGGAAATAATGCTGAGCAGACTCTATTTTACATATTGTAACTGTAATATCAGAGTTTGTTGGTACCAGTTTACAGTGACAATCCAAATGTAGAAAATAACTGGCCCATTAAGACTAGAGGTCAAACCTAATAAACCTAAAGAAAATATAATTTCCTCTTCTCCTACCCCAGTACCAGTAGTGCAGCTGGTTGTAAAATGTGTTGGGGATTCACAGAGAAGGATCTGTTTCTCGGGGTGAGTACTTAAAATAAATGTAATACACATATGCTCCATGCCCAGCTAATATCAATGCCAAGTGGCTGCTCTCTAGAGAAGCACACAGCTGGGGACAAGGAAGTGGAAGAGCGAAAACAAACCAACAAGGAAACAAACAAAAATAGTCATTTAGTTTTACAGCTTTTACTTTGTTTGTTTGTTCTGATCACTTTTCAGCTTCAGAGCATGGCCTGTTGTGCTTCCTCCCTTGGCCCCCAATGGTGCTTCCCCTCCAAGTGACATCAGGGGCTGGGATCCCCCTGCCCCTGCACTCCCCCTCCCTATACAGGGCATTTGACATGCTGACATTTTTGTTTTGAGGAGGTAAAATGTAACATATTAAAGAAGAGGAAAAAACACCAAGACAAAAGGGGAGAAAGAGACCCTGAGAAACAAATTTGTAGAAGGTATATGGCCTCACTCTGGTAGATAATTGGTGAATTTTCACCTCCAACAAAACCGTTCAAGTCCCTGCTTCCCTGGGGACCAGGGATGGAACAGGGAGCCAAAGCATCCAGTCTGAAGTCTCTTGCTAGAGCTGCATGACAGGCTGCCTCTCCCATGGCAGGGTCTTACTGGAGACCTTCTGCCCCCTCAGTCCTGCTGCTCCAGGCTCCCACTCTGGGCAGCAACACAGTTCAGTACTTCCCACCATGGCTTGGTGGTGGCCAAGCTCTGTGGAGAGCTCCCCTTTGATTTCTTAATTGTCCATGGAGAGTCATGGATGAGCAGTCTGAATGAAGCAGCTCTTTCCTTCTCCCAAGCCAAGCATTCCAATGGTCATGGCAGCACCAGGACTCTAAGGCAGAGCTGGAGCTGATTCACATGCAGCCCAGAGCTATGCCACTCTGGTGCCAGGCCAGCCCCTTGGTATGGCCTGTAATAGGGTCTGTCAAAGGATTATGGCCAAAAAGCAGAAGTGCAATATAACATGGTTGCAAGGAATACACTTATTTCTTTGTTCAGGCTGAGAGAGGATTTGTTCTGTTCCAGGACCTGCATTATAAGGGTTTGGGACATATTGAGTTTTCGCAAGCTGACAATTGCATGACAATGGCTGGCGTTTCAGTAACCTGTGCTTTGCTGAAAACTTTAGCATGTTTGTTCAGCCATTTAGAATAGCATCTGGGAAATCCTGCTCTGAAGAGCAGCACACTTCCCTCCTAGCAGGGCTGGATCCCAAGCAATCAGCTGAACAGATAATAAACATCAATGAAAAATGTGGTTATGTCCTCAAAGGATATTTGATTATTGACATTTTCATGTATATAATTTCGAGGACAAATCCTGTCTTGTCTTTTCCTACATATCTATAAAACCTGCTGCATGCATTAAAATCAGCTTAAGGGGATTTGACTGGAATGACTCCCTCAGCTAGGTTATGACACTTTGTCTGACTGTAAATTTCTTTCACTGATACATACATACATTCTGTATATATGTGTGTGTGTGCCTGAAAAAATACTCCCTTCCTTCAGCACACTAGGGAGTGATTCAGCAGTGCTGGTGTGTCTGGTCAAGCTGCATGTGTAACCTTGGCCTTCATCTCATAGCTTTGGCCACTAAGAATGTGATTTTCCCCCTCCTAACTAATCACAGTATTATTTCATTGTCTCATGAAAATGCTGTCCTAGCATGTCTTCCTTACCGCTGTTGAGCAATATTCCTACAGTCTGTTTTCAAAAATGAAAATTGGGACAGTGCGAAATCTGTCCTCAGTCTGGGCAAAAGAGCCTGGGAAAGCACAACCTTCTCAATCGAACTGTGCTCCACAAAAAGCTGCACACAAAGTCACTGAATCACTGCTTATCTCGGAATAATCACTACTCCTCTGAGAATAATAAACCCACTATGTGTTTGCCTTTGCTGCGATCTCTCAAAATCAGTTGCTTAACTGATGTTAGATCTGCTTGTTACTACAGAGCCACCCTGCTCATCCTGAGCTTGCCAAAAGAGCTCATTTCAAGTTAAATGATTGCATAAAGAAACAAATAAACCCAGAGGCGATTTTGACATTGCTGTTATAGGTAGCTTACCTGTCACAGATGACTTGGAGTCTCTGAGGTCTCCTGGAAGCAACCAGTTCTAGAAAGTATAATATGCAATCACAAGATTAAATGAAAATCAAGCCAAAACCCATTCTTTCAGCCCTAAGAAAAAATGTGCTCAGAATTTCAAAGGACCCTATAGAACCTATCGTCTTATTATTCATAAATATACATTATTCCTATAGGACTTGAGTGCCTGCATTGATCTTAATAAGGCTGTTCCAGTTCTGTAACCCTTTCCTTTCATATATCTGTGAGTATAGGCCTTGGACCTCCTCCTGTTACGGGCATGTCTTAGCTTTGACATCAATAAAAGCAGTACCAGTCCCTAAAGCCTTCACACAAAGGAAGCAAAAAGAAGTTTGCAGGCCTGAATCCCCAGCAATTGTCTTGGCTTTCCAAGGGGCTGCTGAGCTTCACATATTGTCCCCAAGGGTACATGGGACTTTTCTACATGGATGCAGCAAGTAAGACTGGGGACAGAGACAAGGCACTTTGATCCCACTCTCTTCTTGCCCAAAGTTCTCACTAAGTGTTGTTTGTCCAGTTAACCATGCTCAGAGAGTTGTATTCACTGATTATTGTGATCTCTATCAGACTGGAACTTAGCAGAGTTTGCAGTTTTGTGAAGTCTGTGTTCTTGTTGATATTTTTCAAGGAAATATTTCTAAACATTGTGGTAAATATAGAGAATACATTCCTCAAATGTTTTGTTGTAAAGCATCAATTTTCTCAGGCTTAGATATGAATGAATGGCTTAAGCCTGGAAAATTTCCCCATAGAGCTAATCAACAGAGAGATTTTCTTGCATCAGAAAGGCTGCAATCTCTAGCCCCCTACATTTTCCTGAGCACTGTTTCTGACAGCAGAGAATGAACAGTGGCACTCTAATCATGGGAATGAGAGCAGGAAGGGTGGTGTCGACCTCTCTTCCAGCTCAGCCTGGACAAGCATTCCCCACAGCAGTGAGACCACCAGGAGGCAAGCACCTCTGTTACCAGCAGACCCAGAGCTCAGTTGGGGTTAATGCTGCACCCTCCAAGAGCATCTGCCCTCCCTACCTGGAAGCACCAGGCACTTCATTCAGGACAGGAGCTGCCTGCTGCAGTCAGGGTGGGAGTCCCCTCTGCCTTTGCCTGCAAGGCCATTTCCAGAGTGCCAGACACAGCGTCTGACTTGATGCACAGACAACTTGAAAAAGTGCAAATGACCAAACTTCCAGCCCTTGACTTTTCCAGCAGCAATCTTGCACCATTAAACCAGGCAAGCAACACATCACAGGGTAAGTAACAGTTCAGAACTGAATTGTTCTCCTACACCCAAGTACCAAGGTAATTTCTAGAGCAGTAAATGGGAATATAACTTGGGATGGGATTCATGGTTGTTTATGTGCCAGAGCACTGGAATATCACCAATATACAGAAGCTATAAATTAGCATCTTGAATACTCCCTTCCCAAATATGTCCAGTCAAGATTGGTAGAATATTCCTCTTGGATCACTAGTAACATTTTCACTGGGTCATCTTTCCTTCTTTCTGCCCCCTTGACTGTAATATAAATGTAGAAATAAATTACCCATATTGACTAGAGATGTAAAGTTTCTAGACAGAATAGAAGAAAAACATTTTTTAAATGGTTTGGAAAGGCAAAAAATTCTTCTGAGGTAGAAATTTTTGCCTCTTCACAGAGCTGGCCAAAAACTTTCAGATGTTGTAACTTTCAGAAAAATTTGATTTGTGAGATGAAAACATTCTATGACAATATATCAATTTCATTAAATATTTAGTAAAAATACCAAGGTTACTTAAGTACTGTACTTTACTGAAATATTTTACCATTAATAATCTTTAATGAGTTTAACACAGAATTTTAAAAATGCATGGTCATTTGGTAACAGCAGGGCAAAACATTTCAATGATATCTTGGTGAAATGTCACTTTGTTTTTGTGGAGCACATTCTCAGGATTAATATTCCAAAGAAGGAAATAGGATTTTTTTTACATTAGAAATAGAAATATCAGCTTGCTTACTGAGAATTGGGAGGAATTATAGTGTTCACTGTCTTGAGCAAGCCTCTTGACTTAAATTTATCTTTTATGTAACTTGGAGATTAATAATTATCTGCAAGGGATAGTGTAAAAGCCAGTGAGCCAACAACTCCTGTCCCTGTCCAAACACATCTCTCAGTGAAGAATTCAGCTTGAATGAGGACTGCCAAATTTGCCACTTTGAGTATACAGAGCTTTGATTATAAATGGAAGATATGGTAAAAAAACAGTGTGTCTGTGCTCAAGGATTTAATGCAGTTAACTAATGCACTTTAAATCAGTTCAGATTAATCTCCTGACTGACCCCATATAGACAAATCCTTAGAGAATGCTGAGGCCACATTGTGTTGAGTAGGGTAAAAACAGAGCAGTAAATATTTTCCTTACTGTAAGATTAAGACCAATCTAAAATTGTAAAATGCTGTAAACAGCTACATCATAAAGGTAAGAGATAAAGAATATTTAGGGAATTCCAAAAAGTGGATGAACTACGATTCAATCGTCTCACAATGATTATCTAGACATAAAATGATGGGATTGTGTAGGGCTGATTGGCTTTTTTAACAATATGAGTAGATCTGAAAGATAGCGCTTAGGTTTGTTATTTTCTATCCTTATGCACGGCAGAGTGTGCTAATGAGGAAATACCTTCTTATTTGAAAACCCAGGTGGAAGTGGCTAATGAACTGATAATGAGGCAAGCAAGCCAGAGGACAAAAGTTAAACTTTCCTAATTGATGAAGAGAGAGAAAGAGGATGCCAAGTGCTGCTGAATGAAGGCAGTGGGGTTGCAGGCTCACAGAGAAAATTTCTCTCATTAGTGAAATCTCTGTGGCTTCAGGACAGGAGCAGAGCTCTGTCTGTGTGGCAGGCTGGAAACTGCAGGCTGTGCCCATTGCCACACAGATGGGAAGTTTCCCTACACCCTGGCTAGCATACATTGCACATTAGTTACAGTGCTGCTCTTGCCTTTGAGATCAAAGCCACATGCAGTTTATTATGACAATAAAAACTTTATCGTTTTAGAATTCAGTTTTCAACTATCCCGTGTGTTAAATTAAATATCAGCATAAAAAGTGAGATTACAAAAAAAAAAAAAAAAAAAGCACTCGGAATGCAGACATCATCTGCATTTTCACAAATGTCATCGGAAGTTTGTGTTTCAGAGCCTGCTGCTTGTTGCCTCCATCTGCTGGAGGCATTTTGGAAACGCAACAGACACTAAAAATCGTACCTGGGAGCACAAATTGACTCTGGAAAGCTTCTAAGTCTCATTCAGCATACCAAAGCCTGCAGATACCTGAAAAACCAGGCCTTATTTGAAAGTCATTGCTGCATCTGAAAAGGCCTTGTGTGAAACCTGCATCTGCTCTTTGAGGTGATATTACCTGGCATAGGTGAGTTCATCATTCAGCCAGTGCAATAAATCAAGGAATAAAGCTCACTCTCATTCATCATGTTATGGATAAATATGCACTGCTCCCTACTCTTTGGAATCCAAATGTCAGAAAAAGGAAACAAAAACTAACTTGGTGCATTGGGCGCTCCCAGTTTTCCCAGTTCGGCAAAAGCACAAGCTTAACGTCATGGGCTGTGATTCCTAATCCTTTCCTGCCCTTGACCCCTGCTGTCTAGATTCAAACTTGTAACCATTAATGGGGCTGGATCAAAACACTGGCCTTCTGGTGTCACCAATGGTGTTTAGAGGGGATTTAAACTCACTGCTTTTCAGCGCAGTGAAATGAACACAGCAGTAGATTAATGCAAGGATTTGAGCTCACACAGCATGAGAGCTTTCAAAAATAGTGTTAACAGAGCTACAACTGCCTCTTTCAGGGGAAGCAAAATGAGGGAACAGAACAAATGAACAAACACAGGGCAAAGCCTTGTCACTATGGGTAGGGCTGGTAAGCCTGGGGAGCCAGGGAGACACACAGTGTGTGCTGTGTCAGAGTGTGCTGAGATGTGGGGCAGGAGCTCTCCCAGTCCTTCACGCTCTCCAGGGAATGGCTCTCCAACCTGCTTGCAGGCCCTATGATCGCACATAATTCCCTACCCCAAGTGTCTCTCCTACAGAGAGAAGGTGAGCTCACAAGCTGTAGGGCTGGCCACCAACAGGTTACTCACCCATCCTTCCCATTCACCTGGAGTCAGGTTGAGACTTTGGTAAACTGTAGGGAATGGGCTTGAGGCTGTTCTTGAACTTCTTTGTGCAAGACACCAGGGCATAGGGTAGTAAAAAACTCCTTTGCACATTTCATCCCTTGCCATTTGCCCATAGAGGAGGCAGAGGAGCTGCTTTTCCTCCAGCTGCCCTGTGTGTGCCTGACTCACAGACCCCACAGCCCATGATGTATCCTTTTCAGACTGCAGCAGGATGTGCTCAAGCCCACAGCAGTGACAGGAAAACATCTAAAGGTTTCCAGCTTTCATTTCAAAGATTCCTACTAACCCACCTGGCCCAGGAACCCTTCCAGTAACAATTTCAGTCTGGGGCTGAGCCTATGCTGCTGAATCCAGTGGGAGTTTTGCCATCAACTTCAATGAGAATAGGATCACACCTCAGTGCTTTGTTTTGCCCGTGTTCATTCCTTGCCGCGGGCAGGAACCTGTTTGTTTGTTTGCTGCCTGTGCTCAGTGTGAACATCAATAGGACTAGCTAAAAGAATTCAAACCATCAGATTTGGGGAAGAGCTCCAAAGTTTGTTTGCTTATCTGAACCAACCCAGGCAACCAGATTTGCACAAATGGTCTGGGAATAACCTCAGGAGAGAAGGTTTTCTCAGGCAGACTCCATAGATTGTGGCTGGGCTGAGCGTGTCCTGGGGGGGAAACAGCATTTGTGCTTCAGGGAAGAGAGGGGAAGTGCCCAGAAGCATATAAATGGCATTTAGCTTTAAACAGAGAGACTCATTTGTCTTCTTACCATCAGTCCCATCAAGAAGTGAATTGATTTAGTTCATGAGTAGGGCAAATACTCCAGCTTTAGACTAGCCTTCTTCTGTCCAGACTGGTTTGTGTAATCCAGATGTGAGCCAAGTGCTTGGTTCTTGTATGTGACTGGAACAGCTCACAGCCCCTTAGGCTATCAAGAGGGGAGAGGGATATTGCCTCTCCAGCTAACACAGCTATTGCCCCGAACACTGACATAGTACCCCCTCTTCCATGTGTTTGCCAGCTCTGTGGGATGCTCCTACAGAACAGTGTCCTCTGAGTCCTGCATTTCTGCCTGGTCCAGCCACAAAAGGCACCAGCATCCCAGTAGCAGAGCAGAGCAGAGCACAGCACAGGTCAATTCTGCCCCTCTGGAGTCCATTAGGGAAACTTTCTATCAAGTCTGAAAACAAGTCAGACTTGAAAACTGCCTATGATGACTCAACTTCACTGGGGCTATTGCCCTGCTGTTCAGGTGCCTGTCCTCTCCTTCCCAGCCCTGCCACTGGCATCCTCCACAGCAGAAGAGGAATAGCACTGCTACTCAGAAAAAACAAAGCCAAGGGAATCACTACTCAGAGCAGCTCTAGGCACTCACATTCTCAGTTGTCTGTGCAAGTTTCTTTGCTAACATAGCTTTAATGCTTGCACTTTCAGGTTGTCCCTCTACATAGTACCAGGATACCTAACCATCATCACTCAGAGTTTGTATGTTTGAGGCTTTGTATTAACAGATGTCTGGCATAAAAAAATTCTTTGTGATTAGTTCCTCACACACATGAGCATTTCTGTAATCTCCCAGACTACTCTTCTCAGCTTGTAGACTACCCAGTCAGGCCTTCTACAACTTAGAGAAGAAAATGCTTCCTCCAGCTGTCTGCTCTGTGCTTGTTTGTATCCAAATTAAACTTGCTGTGGACAGCGACACATTCCCATTTCACGCTGGTTTGATTAATGTGTCTCAGCTAATTGTGTGAAAGATTCCAGTCCTTTCGACTGTGAGACCAGGTTATTGTTCAGCCAATCTCAGCTACCATGTGAAAATGGGGGCTGTTTAGTGTTCATGCACCAGAATCAAAGGAGGGGCATCTTGGACTGGGTCACAGAGCAACACCCACTTCTTTGAAAAGATGTTACTATGCTCTACTAAACCTGTAAACCTCCTGCTCAAAGCAAGTCTTCTCCCTCCTACTCTCGCCCCTGTTCTTTTTTTCCCAGTCCAGATAGACAGGCTCCCCCCACCACTTCCCTGTGGTATAAGAGAGAGAATGGCTAGATTGTAGATGGGTGAATTTCACATTCTAGGGTTTTTAATATTTCACTTTTATATTTCTCTTACAGAATGATCCTGCTGAGAGGCTGAGAATCAGTGCTCATCATTTCCCCCTCACTGACACTTGAATATATTTTCCCAGGAGAAAACATTAAACAAAAAGAGAAAGAGAGAAAGGGAGAGAGAGAGAGAGGGAGAGGGAGAGTGACTGAGCTAGCTTTTCAAAGCATATTTCTCAACCTGCCCACATCAAAATAAGAGACAACTGGCCCTTTGAAGTTCAGGACACAGACTTCTCTACCAGCCCATGTGGAAATAAAAGAATCCAGCTTTGTAAATCACACAGATTTCTCACCTTGCCCACATCAAAATCAGGGACAGTGACCTTTAAAGCAGAGGTTTAAAGGTCCCCAAACCAATCTCCATAAAAATAAGGGAAGTTCAGATAAATTGTGTCTCCAGGTGCCTGTCCAGCTTTTCCAGTCTAAACCAGGAGACATTGGTCCTTTGCTCCACTCCACTGAGGAATGGAGACTACATTGTTGAGACTCTGAGCAATGCAATCTTCCATTAGACTTACATACACCAGCACTCAGTGAGGCAACTTTGCCACACATGTACCTCAGTTTGTAAACTAAGCCAATCCCAGTGTTCTTGTAGGTCTTACAACACCACTGTCACTAAGTAGCTCAAGGGATTTAGTAACACCGAAGCAGAGGCATTTCCATAATAAGAATTACTGACCCAACAATGGAGTGGTTAGTAGCTCAGAGAAAAAGCTGGCCTCGTGAGTTAAATCCTACCTGGGTTATAGCTGGGGAGCTTGGAAAGTCCTGGCCAGGTGTCTTCAGTTGGGTCCCCCAATACCTGCAAAAGAAGAGAGTGAGAAGAACAATGACCTTTTTCTGCCCATTCTTTGCCTTGGTGTGGAGTTGGAGAAATCAGTCTCAGTGGAGAGTGACTGGCCTTCCCTGTGAATCAACGCAGAACTGCCCTGACTGGTGCTGGATCTACCATTGTGCATAAAAGACACTGACATTTTAGCACTTGATTATGTACCAGAAAGGCTCCTGCTGAGATTGAATGCTGCTGCTGATGGGAACATCAGTGAAGGCATATGCAGCCTCACTGCCAGGTGCCACTGCTGCCTGTTTGCCAGCCCAGGGGTCATACAGGTGAGCCCTTTTCAGTGCTGAAGGTGTCCTCCCACACCAGAGCTGCACTGGGGACTTACTGTGCCTGCTTGCACTGGCAGCAGCTGCTATGTTCAGCAGCAGCACAGGCTGTGAGCTCTGAGAGAAACCCTTGCCTTCTGTGGTAAAAAAGTAAAGCTGGCAGCCAGGTCTAGTAGTTGGAGCTAGAAAGCAATGCAGAGGCTCACTCTGAAGGATACAGAGCTTCAGCAGTGTCTTTCACCTTTACTGGGGACTGTGGGCTTCAGCAGCAGCTGCTCACTGAGCAAAGTCGGGGCCAGTAAAGCCTCCTCCAACTTAATTTTAGTTGCTGAAATGTGTGAGATTGAGCATATCTAGATTTCTGCAGTTGCAGATGTTTAGTGTTGTTATTATTATTACTTAGCACATGCAAAGTGCCCTGTGCCTATCGATATGGATGATTTGTGCTAAAGAGGTAAAGCCACATACTTAAGAAGAGTTCACAGCATGTGAAATGGTAGTATAATCAGTACTGCTGTCTCCAAGCATTCAAAGCTTTCATCCAGACAATTCCCAGAATTATCAGGTTTCCTTAAAAAGCAGTGAAATTTTAACATGAAAAGTTTCAGGGTTTTTATTCATTTTCTCTTCTCCAACACTAGATTTGTCTAGCATTAGCTACCCTTTGCATATGATAGACAATTCCTGTTCCTTAAAACGTGAGCTGAGATATATGACATGGGGAACTTGGCCTCCCAAAAATTTGTATTAAGATTGCAAGAAAACAGGTATCAGTGAAAAAATACATTAAAGAAGGAAGAAATATAAAGCCAGCTTGTGGTAGGGGTAAAGCGTCAGGTAGTTGATTGTTTTTCTCAGTCACAGCTGGGAAACAGCTGTGACAATTGCAGCTACCTGGAGAAGACAGCCACAAGCAGGGTGTGCATCTCACCACCTCTGAAGAGAAGTGTGCCATCATGGTTTCAAACTTCTTATGGACTCAGCCTGCCACAGCAAAGACTAAGGGGAGGATCCTTGTCTCTGCTCACCTCTAAAATCATCCTTGGAAGCTTGAAAGCTCCCCAAAGAGAAGGTGTCTTGCAGTGTTCAGCTAGCTAAGGATGTTGGAAGTTGGCTCGCACCAAGGGTAATTTGACAGCCCTGGGTGAGGATGCCTTCTTGACTAGCGTGTGTATGATGTGAATAGGGCAGGTCTGCCCAAAGCAAACTCTGTATGCACAGGAAAGAGAGAGTTGGAATTTGAACTTGAATCCAGAATTTGCTCTCTTTTTGCTATCCTGTTAGTTTCCATGAAGCCCTGCTCAGTGAGCCCTCATTCTTCAAGATTTCTTGTGAGCTGTCAAATATCAGTTCTACAGGCATCAGAGGAAATTGGGTAAGTTCTGTGAATAGTAAAATCATACTTGCCAGGGTCAGCTCAGCATTCTGCTTCTTTTGGTGAAGAATTGAAACAAATAGTTATTTGTGTGTGCTTATACTTTTCTACATAAGGATTCCAGCAAATATTACATTTTACTGCATTGAGGAAGGAAAGCATTCAGAGCACCAATCACTGCTGTATGAATTTATATTTGCATTTTCTGAGCCTTTTCATTACAAAAGATGCTTTTCCAACCTGTAAACTTGCATCTGCATCTCTTCTTGTTTTCCAATGTAATGGGACAAGCGATCTGATCTCTTTCTCCACCCTGGACCTTTAGTGAGATTCCTTGCCAAATCAGACAATGTGTTACAGTTATTTATTTGAAATTAATTATACTCTGACAATTGTTTTATCTGTTGTGTATCCACCCTAAATCTAGATGTTAACTCTCTGGTCTATGCCATCAAACAAAACAAAGTAGCTTCTCTATACTCCACTCTGTAGTGAAAGGTCTTGGTGCAGGTCAGCTCAGCCCACTTGGGAAGACACAGTTTAAGCCAGAAACATTTTTACAGTGTATGTATTTCAGCACGTGCTTTAAGATGGTGTAAATTGCTGTTCTTTCTCTCTGCCCTCTAACTGCTTGCTTCTCCTGTGATGTTTTAGCTGAAGAAATCAACCTAGTCGATTTTGCTTAATTTTGTTGGGAAGTCTTATTTTAAGTTTTGTGTTGAGGAGCCTTTTAGTCATTCATTTGGCACAATGTTTGGCTCAGCAACAGAAGCACCCTGGTGGCATTCTGTAGCCTAATCCAGCCCACATGAAGTCCTTCTCAGCATGATGTTAATCAACAAGATGGAACTTTTGCATGAAAATCCTACGCTTGGCCTCTCAGAAATCAAACGATGGATCTTGATTTTGCAGGTTTGTTCCTCTCTGTGCCATGAGCAAAGTGGAAATGCTGGAGCTCACATTCACTCATGCCACACTTCCATAACCAACACTGCCAGCTTTCCCTTCCCATTTGGCCCTGCTCCTGTGCCATGCCTCGTGAATACCAGTGCTCATTAGGGCTACTGTTTGTGCAGCCAGAGGATGAGAAGGGAAAAGAAGCTGTTCTCATTTAGAGTAAGCCAGGGAGAAAACAAAGTTGCAGGGTCTCTGTTCATGAAGCACCACATGTGAGAGGTGACACAGGAGAAGCAGTGAGCAGCCAGGGATAGAGATGGGAGGTGGAGACTGCTTTAGATGGCACTTGCCTCTAGAAGAATTTTTGGTAAAATGACAGCCAGTCAATCCTGATGATTCAACAGGACAAACACATTTCACAGAATGGGGATTTTCCAATCACGTATCTTATCTATATGGTGTGTGAACCAACAGTCCCATATAGAGATGAGCATGCTGGCTGATACAGACTCATGCACACAAATGCAGATGGTCTCTCTACCAGTGCAGGGTGCCTCTACTACTAGTACATGAAAGGAGCTGACTATTAGAAAACAGTAGGAATCCCAATTCTGAACCTCACACTTGGCAAAATATCTCAAGTTAGACATTGAAAGCCTCTAAGGAGCTTTGAAATCTTGGTCTAACACAGAGCCTCATTCCAGAGACTGTATAATATCATAAAACCTCCTGTGAAAAGCACTAATTATTTCATAGCTCTTTAAACTTCCTCATGATTTTTAAATAAGGGGTTTTTTTGCCTTCTATAGCACAAATCCTATTAATCATGGTATTAGTTATAATACCAGAGAAATTACGATAGTGCTATAACCCTCTAATGCAAAACCACAGGAAATGCATCTAGAGATTTCAGAGACATAAGTGTAAGGATAGCCTTCATTCACACTCTGAGAAACTGGACCCTGCCCTGGCTTTGAACCTTGTTAATTGGCCAAGTGTGGATATTTTTTTTCCCCAGTAATTCTTTTTACCCCCCACTCTCTATGAAAGAGAAATTCAGCATTCATTTAAATGGATTGGACTCATGTCTAAGAACTGGATGCACTTGTATGTCTTTTTATCACACTCCTACTTACAAGCACAGAGGAAAACCCTACCAAACAGGAGTGTTTCTGCATGAAGTGGTTAAGCTGGAAAAATCTGACTTACACAGTCTAACAGCTATAAAGTAATTGTTCATGATTTTCATGAATTTCATTTTTTCTATACTTTCTCCTTTGAAAACCCATGTTTCAGAAACATTCTATGCATAAGAGTTAATCCTTGGGAGGAGATGTAAAAGGGCAGACAGAGAATCACAGAATCTGCTGAGTTGGAAGGGACCCAAAAGGATCATTGAGTGCATCTCCTGCCCCTGTACAGGACACCTCAAGAATTCCATCATGTGCCTGACAGTGTTGTCCAAACACTTCTTGAGCCCTGGCAGTCTTAGTGTTGTGATCACTTCCCTGGGGTGATGCCCAGCCATCCTTTGGTTGAGGAACCTTTTTGTTATATCCAACCTAAAACTCCCCTGACATAATTTCAGGCACATTCCCTTGGGTCCTGTCAGTGGTCACTACAGAGATCAGTGCCTGCCCCTCCTCTTCCCCTCACAGGGAAATTGTGACTTCCCTGTCACAACTCAATGAGGTCTCCCCTCAGTCTCCTCTTGTCCAGCTGAAGAGACCAAGTGATACCTACAGCAAGACCTGATATGAATGCATAGGCTGACCCTGCTGTTGAGTCAGTAACAGGGTCAGCACAAGCAGTCAGGAACGCACAGAACCTGTCAGTGCTACTGACTGCCTCAGTTCTACCAAACTGCTCCAGGAATGTGGCTCTGTGTTGCTATTTCCCCAGCAGAAAAAACAATTTAGGAAGCTCCCAAATATGTTGCTCTTACTCACTGCTACCTTTATTAAGTAATTTCACACTTTCCATTATGCCAAATCAGTCTCTGGAACCGCACCATAAACTGGATGATACAAAATGTGCCAAGTAAAAATGAAGAAGGATTTCTGACAAACCTCAGGGTCTTGCCATTTTCAAGGTAGTTCCGGAGCAGTATTAGAGCTCCTTTGTGAGAATGCGTTGTGCCGTATCCTACAGTAAGTAAAGGATTTTAAAAGAAGCAACAGAATTTGCAGTAACTGCACACCTTTTATGCCTTCTTCAATTTGATATCATTATAATTGTCTTTAAATTTTTGATGAGATGACAGACATCAAAGGGAAGTCATTTGATTTACTCCTGTGTCTGTAAGAAAGTTGCCAAATATAAAATGGGTTACAAAGTCTGCTATGAACTTGGCAGATTAGACCAAATTATTTCTGCTATTCACAGGACCTATGCTTCAGACTTCAAAATAAAGTAGGCTGGAACAATGGATTCTTTTTCTCTTCCATTTTAGGGTGTATTTTACTCACCGCCCAGATCTTCTCCAGCTGTTCACGAGTACCAGAAGTTGCTGCAAATATTGCCTGACCCTGGATCATTTCCACAAATATACAGCCTGCACTCCTGCAAGAAACCCAAGGAATTAACTCATTCACATAAATGATATATATAATATGATTGTTAGGATGGGCGGGGAGAGAGGCAGAGATATATGTTGGAATGGAAATTTAGAGATTCTGATTTGTAAATGCAGACATCTTGATAAAACAGGATGGGAACACACCAAAGATAAGTTACATTTACATGCCTCCAGGATTTCAGAAAAAAACCAGAAGGGGTCAAGGTTCCATGCAAATCTGTTCCCATCTTCTTTTTCTCATCAGCACCACCCACTAAAGAAAAACAATTCACTTTTTATCAGCAAGACAAGACAGGTTTCTTATCCTTGGAAAAGAAACCCACTAAGCACTATTTTTTTTCCAGTACCAAAAAATTGTTTCAGGTCTCTGTCCATTAATCCTGTTACAAACTGTGTCAAAAAAGGGTCATGGCAGAAGCATGTGGAGTACAAGGTTACTTCCCATGAGAAAAAGGGTACAAAATTGGAGTACTTACAGTAGGAAAGATAAACAGGGAGGTACTACACACTTCATTGGCTTGAAGGATATATTAGATGCAGAAAGAACCCAGAGGCACTAACTACTATAGCCATTTTCCTTCAGAAGCTATTAGCTCTTCCTTGGAAAGCTGAAGGCAGGATTTCATAGCATAACAAACCTGGTCATAGCAGCAAGTTAAAGTATTCTTATTTTTATGTCATCCCCTGCTATGCACTTGCACCAAAACAAACCAGCCAGCTTAAAAGAAACCCCACACCTGCCAAATTGCTTCATTTTACTAAGGTGGATTAGTCCTCATGGCAGTAATGATGAAATAGTTGTGATCAAGGTAGACTTGCCTATTTGCAACTATTCCCATCTCTTACTGTATTTACTTTTTAATCATTTCCTTCAATTTTTTTTTGAGGTTTTCTGTCTTTTCACTAAGTCCCACCACACCTTTTTGAGTTTCAGCCTCATTCTTCTTTGGTTATATCAAATTTGAGTTCTTTAAGCTTAACTCTTGAAAACTCAGCTTTGTCTTAAAAGTCTGAAAGTATTATTTTCGCTTGCTTAGCCATAACTGGTAATCTCTCCTGGTTATCTGTACTCCTGTGTTACCCCTTGCACTTTGTTTTTGCAATACTGTAGTTGTTTTTCCCACCTGGCTGTGGTCAGTTGAAACCCTGGCATGCAGCTCATCTGCGGTATTTATTTTGGTCATCCTTGCACACCAGGTGGTGCCAAGCCTGTTTGCAGATCCATATCTAACACTGTTTTCATAAACATCTCTGCTGCACTTACCCTTAGCTTCCTGTACCCTAGCCTTGGCAAATCTTGTGAGATGAGCTTTTTTGCTTGTCTAATATCCTCTTCCAGAGTCCAGGCATCATGAAACTTAATCCACAGCTTTTGCAACATAGAGTTTTTCTGGTGTTTCATAGCACTACCACATGATTAGACATTACTTCTGAGCCCACAGATAGCTTCTACTAAGACCAGTGTCATACCAACACTGTTTTCACAGCTGATGTACATGCCCAAATGGCTCACCCTATTTTGCAACCACAGGGGTTGCTGTAATCGGCTGATTGTATTGCACAAGTTCAACTGTGTATGGTCAAAGCAATTTAGCTCCTCTTGATTTGTAGGGGGAAGAGAAACAGCTCTCTATGTGTTTGGAACAAGTGATGCTTATGCTCTACCAGTTTGCATTCTGATATCCTAGCTAGAAAGTCTGGCAAGAGCAGGAACTTTGGAAACTTATGCTAGTCATATTAGCCTTGCAGTAGAGTCCGCAGCTTTCCTTCTGAGTTACTCTGACAGCATTATGAGGATCTATCTGATAATGAGGATGAATCAAAAGCATTTACTTTTAAATGTTTCTAAATATTAGGCCTGGGGTTGTTCTGCTTTTCCCCTTTTCCTTCTTTCCCCTCTAATATTAATTTCTTAAGTCTTCTTACCCCTTCCAGTCTGTAAGTTTCTTAGAAGGTCTCAGTCCTGTATAACTGCCTTGGGAAGAGATAGGGCAGAGGGGAGGGGTCTTTTGGGAAGAGGCCTAGCTAGATATATTTTAGCAAGTGCTAATATGCACAGGAATCAAAACAGTGCCAGCTAAAATAGTAGGAAAAGTTACAGGGATATTCAGGGAGCATAAGCAGAGCTGATTCAGACAGTACAGTTGCATCCATCTGCAATCCCTCGGGAAAGTCTGAACACTGCACTTTGTCCTCAGTCTGCAGTGCTGCATCACACAGTGGAAAGGTTCTCATCAGGATTAAGATCTAAGATATCTCTGTGGCATCCCAGAGTTCCCTCTTCATGTTTGGGGGATTTTGTTGGCACTAGGTGATGGCGATTTTATATTTAACCAGAAATATAGCATTCCTCTTGCTCATCACCAAACCTGGTCTGTACAGTGGAGCCCTTAGCCAGTATCTCCCAGTTTGGCATAGTGGGGCACCATGAACCAGGTGGAGGAAAAGGCTGTAGTGAGCCTGGCAGGTCCATGTTAAATGACTGCATGTGAACTCCTATTCTACATGAATCTACTAGGGAAGATCACTGTGATTTTTTTTCCTCTCTCTTTTTTTTAATGGAAGACTATATAATGAAAGCCTGACTGAAAAGAAGACATCTTAAGGCACTCATGATGTTTGCAGCCACTAATGTGGCTGTGCATAAAGCACTTGGCGTTTTTTTAAAAAAAAGGGAAAAAACATCCTTCTGATATGCAGTGTAATCTCCCCAAAATCCTTTAATTGAATCTTCTAAAGTCCTGAAGAGATAGTGAGGGAGAAGGAGAGAGAAAAGAGATACAGAGAGATTAAAGCAGCTTTTCTAGTTAGTCCAAGAGCAACCAAGTCTCCTTCTATATCTCTTCATTTATTCAAGGCCTCATTCACTTCCCATGTGCCTCCCACTGACAGTATTGCTGCTCAAGCACACTATGCATGAATTGCCATAATGTTTTATTTTGTTATAATTGGTTTCTTTAAACCGAGGCTTTGACACCCACTGTCTCATGCCATTACCAAGGGCATTCTGACCTGCCTTCGTGTAAATTGCAGCATCCAAAAGACACAGGGTTTTTTTTTCCTTTCTTCCCAACAGACAAGTAACATCTGTGTGAATTCACATTTATTTCCTAATAGACAAAAATTGAACTTAAATGCAGTGTACATCAAGATAATAAATGACTCTTGTTAGAGGAAGTTACTGAATAGAGCTCACTGAAATACTCCCTATTCTCTCAGCGTGACATCTTTCTTTAGGGCAAACACTTTGAACGTTGTTATTATAAGGAGGCGTTATAACAAAAGTGCCTATAGTGTGGATGTAGTTCAGTGGGACAGAGAGCACTATGCTGTTAGAGCTGGGATCTTTGTACACCACTCCTATCTTGCTATTCATTACACCAGAGCAGAGTTATGCAGTGGGGATGTTGGTTTTGCATAGGCAGAAATGACATGCTTTCTGTGCATAGCTGGCTTTGGACAGGGGTCAGCTTTCAGGGGAAAAAAGCAACAGGCTTATGCCTGATACAAACCCTCTAATCTGCTAGGCAGGCATCTTCTTCAAACTCAGCAGACATTTCTGAGAGACTGTCTGGAGGGAAAAAGGACAGGTAGTGGGGGAAGTAGACAGGACTATTTAGACTGGCTTAGCAGCTGGAGGCCATTAGAATTTAGCAAGGTTTTCCTCCTTAGAGAAGTCTTTAAATAATTAAATTAGCAGCAGTCCTAGGGAAGTAAACAATCTAAAAACTTCAGTTTCCCTGACCTACTCTCCAGACTTAGGTCACTGGAGTGTCTGATAAGCTGCAGACCTCTGGAGGGAGATACAGCCTGTGAAGACCTGGAGCTCTGCTGTTTGTAAGCTTAGCCAGCCCTCTTACACATTTTCCAGCCTGTTGCACTCCTAACTTTTCCCAGCCTTTGACTCTGCAGTAGTTAAGAACAAGTTCTGGTGGGACAGGTACAAGGAAAAGATTAACTGGTCTGAACAAAGGGTGAAGCAGCAATGCCATCTACAGATGTAAAATTGCCCAGAATAAGGATGGTCTCCTGCAACTTCATGAGCTGCATGCTGTCCATGAGCATGTCAGGACTGTGTTGCTGGAAGTGGGCTCAGGCTGGTGCAGAAGTGAGACAGAAGGTTGATGAACCTTACAGTTAGCCCAGCTACACATCCAGGCCAGCCCAAAAGGCCACTGGGACCCTGCAAAGCCTTCATCCTCTCCTGTTTTCTGCTACTCTCAGACACTCCTCTCTCTTCTATGAATTTGCAGCTTGTTTCCTTTGGATTCCCAAACACATCAAGAATTAGAGGTAGAGCTTATAAGGAAACAAGGCTTTAACAGACACAACCCTTCTCCTGAGTGAAATACAGACTGCATCTGAGACATGGTCTTTGAGAAGGACAAAATATCGCAGAAATTATTGAAATCTCAGACACCTTTCTATCTCCAGATTCATTGAGCAACCCTTTAATGCCACGTTTTGTTACCAAGGCCAAAGTAATTTGGCCTTGTCAAAGTAATTGATGGTGAGGTTGTGGATCCATTGTTTTTACACGAAGCCATTTCTGCAGAGTTACTACTGACTCAGCTGACTACTTAGATAAACTTACATTGAGCAAAAGTGTTCTGTTGCAAGACAAGAAAATGCTCCATACATGTTACCAGACAGGATACATATCTCTCATAAAAATTATCAGATGAGGTTTGTATCCATCCATAGCTGAGATGTAGTGACATCATTCCCAAAAGCTTCTATGAACCCTCTATGAGACTCCTACAGAACTCCACATTGCTCACACATTTTCTGCTCACAGGTGTTAATTCCTCTACTTACAACTGTATCTACTGTAACTTTGGCTGATTTAATTTAATTCAGATAAAAATTATTTTTCCCAAGGAGCCCCAGATGCTTTGATATTGGTCAGTACCAGATATCTATATCAGAAGAATAAGCTGCAGCTCCAAGCAACACATCAGGAGGACGGTACCAGAGTGTCACAACTTCAGAGGAGTATGTCTGTCTGGGGATGGACTGGGCACGAGCAAGGCCTGCAAAAAAACCCCAACAAACCAACAAAAAAAATGCTGTGTTAGGACAGTCCTTCTACCTGCACAGTGCATAGATGATAATAATTGGAAACAGGACATTATTTTCTCTTTAAACACAAGTAATCTCAATGCAGCTTACAAGCAATTGACAAAGAAAGTGTTTCTGGAATATACCTCTGGGGCAGATCAAATCAAGTAATAGGCTGTGTTTTGCAAGGCTTTATCATTTGAGACTGAAGCAGTTATCCCAAACCAATGCCAAGAAAGCTTTTTGGGTCACACATTGCTGTGGACTCTACACATTACATTATTTTCTGAGCAGAGAGGGATTGATTCTTTGTTCTCTTGAACTAGTTTTACATGGCAGTAATTGTTCTGACTTAAATGGCAGTAATTGTTCTGACTTAAAAGAGGTTAATCCCTGTACCTATCAGTATAAATATAAGAAAAGCTGAACTGACCACAGAAATAGTTTCCTGAAGTTCAAGGAAAGGTTATGCTTCTCTGCATTAATTGGCTGTGGATACAGATCTAGATGCATGCTACAGCTTTGGTCTGAGCAGATATACAGCTGTATCCAAACTGTGACTCACCAAAGTCGGCTAATTTGAGCTCACCGAGGCAACTGATGAGCAAGTTCTGGGGTTTCAGATCACGGTGAAGAATGTGTTGTTGGTGGATGTAAGCCAGGCCACGCAAAAGCTGGAACATGAAGAGCTGGCAAAAGCCAACAAAAAACTGAAATGATTTTGCGTGACTTTGCATTGATAAGTTAGCTCTGAACTTTAGGAGAACCCTGGAACAAGGCAGAGACAAAGCAAGTAAGAAACCAGTAAAAATCCCAAAAATGAGTAGAGCTGGCTGGAAGGAGAAAACTGTGGTGGGTTATGACTGTTCTACAGCTTTCTGAGGTTTTCAGGGTAGGATATTTGGCCAGGAGGGCAATTTAACTGCGGTCCGTAAATGCACATTTTGGAAATTCAACTTTTCTTTAGAAATGGACCGTTGATTGCAGGATCAAGGTCAGTTTGCCAAAACACAGACCCCAGCTTTCAGAACAGCAGCTGTGTTGATTGCAGTGTTCAAGACAAAGACACAAGGACACACAGCCAAAAAAAATGAAAGCCTAAGGAGCTGAAGGTTCGCCCCCTTGAGCCAGATGGCAGCAGCTGACTGAGTTCCATGGCCACTGCACGTCACCAGTGGAGCAGGGAACTGACTGACCTGGCAATGGGAACTGTTGGCTTCAAGCTGGGAGAAAACATGAAAACCTGATTTAAAAAACACAGCAAATCAGATATGATGAACAAAGCAAGCAAGCAAGAAGAAAACCAAGCAAGAAAGGAAGCCAAGAAGTAAATATCTAACTCCCACCATCATGGTAGTCTAAATAAGTCTGGTGTAAAATAAGTTGGGCTGAAACAAGGTATGAAGTTGGACAGTGGATAGAAACAAAACACAACAAAAGTAGTAAGACTTCACCAGAGAAAAGATATTTTTCACCAGAGTTTTAACCTGAAGAGGAGGAAAAACAGTGACACCCATAGGTCATTTCTGTACCAGAAAAGTATCCCTGTAACATTCTGCACACTTATATCATATTGCATAGGAATCACTCAGAAAAAACAAACAGCATTTGAAAGCAAAAATGAAGCAAGCTAGATTACCTTCCTGAAGGAGCAGTAAATAATTTTGCAGTTCAGTTCCTGCTGACAGTGAGGATTCTGGATAGGAAAGCAGAGCAGCTGGCTAGTGTTTACTCACAGAAATGCCAGTAAGTACATATTACAGCCATGTGCTCCACGTGCTTTATGAGCACGTCTGGTAGCAGAACCCTTGAGATCTGTGCCAAAACTACTACACTGCATCTCAGATATATCTGAGCTTTAAGGATGTTTAAAATGTGAGGCCCCAAAAAACTTCATTAGAATTGGTGTTGCTTAACAACTATCTGGAAAAAGATGTGAACAATGTGGCAACATTTGAAGATGACAGAAGTATTTAGATTAGTTGTGATAAGAAGTGTCAGTGAGGAACTTCAGAGAGATCTGACAAAGCCAGATGAATAGGTGGTTTGATAAGATACAAAGTTATTGTTGACAGCTGTAAGATAAATTAACTGTAGTTGCTCAGGAAAAGGACCCAGACATTAACTGAGGACATCTGCACAGAAACCTTAAGCCAGCATGCAGCAGCAGTCCTGAAAGTTAATTGAATGTGAAGATGTTTACAAAGGAGAGCAGGAGACTATTACATTATCAATCTATAAAGTAAGGGTACATGTTTGGCTGTGTTCAGATGCAATCAACCGATCCAAAAAGCTATGGGAGAAACAAAAGGGACTTAAATGACTGCAAATATGAAAATAGTTCCAAATGAGAAGAGAGATGTGAGTGTTTTTAATTAGAGAGATGAATAATGTGTTGTAACAATAAGAGAATAAAAATTTGTGTAGAGATAGGTTTCCTTGCCACAAGATGTCATTGTTCACAAAAGCTGAATGTCCACTTGCAGGCTCAGAAAATAGGAAGAGAGGCTAACTGAAAAAAGGTTTGAGACTGAGAGGGAGCTTGTTATATCATCAAAGGCAGATTTTCTCCAACATTTTTGTCATGTATGTAACAAATAAATATTAGTAAGTAATTTACAGTGACCATACATAGTGGAAAATAACTCTTCCTCATTCCTTAAGGGATATGAGTCTCCTAAAGAACTCACCATAACATTGTACGAATGGAGTCCTCCAGGATGCTGGCCCATGTACTGTGCTAGATCTGTGTGCTAAATAAAAGAGAAGAACTTGAGGCAAAGCTGCTGCTGTAAAATTCTTCTACCAACAATGCCTCTTCTGTAAATGGAAAAATATGCAACTGCTACAAGGGTGCCTATTTCACCTGGGTGAAGATCTGGTCTGATGCAGCCCATAAGCATGTGCTTAAGTTCTGGGTCACATCAGGAGCCTGGCTGACCTGTTATCTCACCCAGCATTTATGACCTACAGCTGCTGCTTAACAGAATTCATACTTGTGCCAGAACTAATCATAAAGCTGCAACAAGAGGATATAGATGCTGTATTTTCTTTATAATTTGGTTGACTATCTGCAAAAGCAAGAGAACTAGCAAGATTCATGTGGAGAATTTTATTGGTATCCTGGTCTCCCCATGAGAGCAACTCACAGCTTGGTCATAGTAATCCACTGGGGTCAGTGCCAAATCTGACCCCAGCTGGGTTGTGAGCTCATATCATTATTTCCTATCCTTGCTGTGGCTCAAAAACAGTACTTTTATTGTGTTGGCAAGGCAGAAATGGAGGTAAATAATGTCTGCCACCCCAGTGGACACAAGACATGGAATTATTTTTGCATACAGCTGTCGCATATACAGAAAGAAAAGAGTAAGACTGTGTGGCTGGAAAGCAGGAGATCAAGAAGGAAAATCAATCACTGCACTAAAGCATTACAGACTTTGTAGATGTCTCACAGTGCAGTAAATTCAATCTGCAGCCACTTCCCAGTACTTCTCAGTACTAGCTCCACAGGAAGCTAGAAAAACATCAACTCACCATGTACTCAAAGACAAATGTTAGTGTCTCCTTAGTCTGGATAATGTCATGAAGCAGAACAATGTTGGCATGTTTCAAACGTTTGAGAAGAGAAGCTGGGAAAACACAAAAGGAAGATCGACTTTACTGCTGCTGGAAGTGGAAGGAGATCATGCACAAAACAAAGCAGCGGAAATAAAAAGCTGGGGAATAATAGTCCAGACTTGGCAGTTCTGTAAGAAGTGGAAGCTACTGAGCCTGAAGGAGGATAGAACAACTCCGCAGAGAAGCAAGAATTAGTGCTCCAGGCTTGGCAGGAACCCAACCATCCATCTCTCAGAGGTGGGATCTTGCCTTTGTCAGAAATAGCAATTCACAGTTCCCAGGTGTCAGCTTATAAGTTGAGGAGAAGTAATTTCTTCAAGGTGAATGCTGAGAGGCAGGACCTGAGCGCTCCCAGAGCCAGAACGCAGCAGCCTCCAGTCTGTCACTGAGTTTCTCATCCTTCTCCCATCCATCTCCTGGTGTGTGCCCTCAGCAGGGCCCTTACAAGAGACTTCTGGAACAAACTGAGTTTCTACCAGTTTTCAGCTTCACAACAACAACAATAGTGCAAAAATTGGCAGAAAGAAATCACTGTAGATATAAGCTAAATTCTGAGTTTAGTTCTGTGCATATTGGTTACTGTCTCTGGTTAAAAACTCTAAGAACAGAGATGGTGAAGTTACTGAGTGAATAGTAATTTGTTTGTATTTATAAAACTTAAGCAAGCTTTTCTTTCAGCCTAACTATCCAAAAGCATCATTTCAACTGTGTGTCCCTGGTCCTTAGGTCCTGACATGCCTTTGCTAAGCCTTGGCACATCCAGGGTGTGGTGATGCAGGGGGCAGCACATGGAAGAGTCTCTGGGCCGATGCAGACCACAGAGCACTGACTTATGGTAAGACAAAAGCTGCAGCCTTCTGAGCCTTTTGGCTGTGCATTGGTTTTGCTGTGTTAGAGCAGGCTCCAGCCAGCACGCTCATGAAAGGAGCTTCTCAGCAGAAACTTCATGGGGGAACAGTGTGCATAGCTTAATCATTTGCTACCTTAGGTGTGAGACAATACAGCAGTAATTCTGTACAGAGGAGGAATGTGGGGGGAGAGGTGAAGCTGGGATTACTTTGCCTGTAGGTCACTGGCACAACTGAAGAATCTCACCCAGCTGTTCACAGACAGGGAACACAGACTACACAGAGAGAAGCCCCAAAGCCCTAAAAAAACAGATGTCCCTTACTCGAGATTTTAGTTCCGCTTCTGACATAGCAGAATAGCCTTAGAGCTGTTCCAGACCCACTTTTTGCTGCTGATTAAAACCAAATTAGTTTACTGTCAGATCACGCAGTGCTACAAATTTCATTCAAATAAGGCATGGGCGTACAATCTTGTTTCAGCTGAATTAGCTAAAGCACACAATACAAAGCATGGGCCAGCTGTGGGAGGCAGAGTTTTAGTCACACTTAAAAGCTGCTTTTTTGTTTTTCAAACAGTCTGAAAAAGAGATTCGAAGAGTTTCATGCTGGCAAAGCAAATTTATACTGGATTAGCACTTTGCCTTTTGCAACCGTAACAATTTCACCTGGCTCTAAAAGCCCTGCTGCCAGTTACACTGCATATGACACAGCTGTGGTCTGTGTCAGCTCTGAGACCACTGAGCAGTAAGGGATGCCTGATTCAGCACAACTACTGGAAACAGCAGATTGCAAAGCAGCTCTTGCACAGAGCTTGGTGTTGCTGCAGCTAAACTGCTTCTGCCATTGACACCACTCCATTTAGCTACCACCAGTATGTTCCCAGCACTGGGGACATCAGTTTCTCCACACTGCACCTAATTGCCTACGAACCTAGTAGAAGTGCTTTGGCTAGAGCCCATCTGCTACAGAACACGATAACCTGACTGTGATACCTCAAAAATTCCATATGACCGGAGCTATTGCTCCAGAGGGGCAGCACAGAGGGTCCACAGTAAAATGGAGGATTCAGCGCCTGTGCCTCAATCAGGCTTCTGGGAAAGGCTCCTCACTTTGTTGCTTCTACAACCTCCTGCTGGGGTGTCAGGTGCTGCTGCCAGAACCGAGCTTTAAACGCATTTTGTCTCTGCGGGGCTTCCTGGGGTGAAGCGTCTCTTTGTCAGGGGAGTGCATTCCTCAGGGTAGCAGAGAATGCGCCGCGTTAATAAATCTTGTGCTTTGTTTTTGCTACTGACTTACATTGTAAATTTGAGGTGTCAGATGCTGCAAAGCTCAGCAGTACACAAAAGCAGACCCTTCATAGGAGCACCCTTGTTTTCTCCCATAATGAATGAAGTTAAGACTCTCAGCCTGTCCAGCAGAGCATGTTAAAGGGGTGCTGATCTTTAGCGCATCATTAGTTCAATGCAGATAAAGCTTTTAAGGCTTATTTTAACTGGTGGGCTACAAGCGTAAATGCAGAGCAAAAGCACCACAGCAAACGAGTGTACAGGAAACTGTAACACAAGCCATTTTGCAAGTAAGAATATTTAGGTGTGTCTCCGCTTTCACACAGAATTAGACTAAGGACTTTGTAAACTTTCTTGTCTTAATTACAGTTATAAACCTGGAGTGGATTCAGTGACCTCTCTTTTTATTCTGAGTTGACTGCTATGAGAGTCCTTCTGTGCTAGTGCTGCTCTGTGAAAGCTGGCACATCTGGTCTCTGACTCTCCATCCCCACGACAGGATTAACCCTAGTTGCACAAATGCAGTTAGAACTAAAAAAACGCTCTATGTGTGTCATCCTACATTGACAGCTTCCTCTAATACCACAAAACAGACTGGCACAACAGTTGCATATATCTGTGTATGGAAGAAAACAGATTGTGGTCTTCTTGGGGTTGTACAGCAGATGAAAATAGAAGCCCAAATCAACCAGGCTTGTGCACTTAAGTCTGTAGGGAAATGTAAATACTTTTAGCCAAAATCAAGCACTTGCACAAAAACATGTCTTTCTCCAAGAAATTGAGAAATCTGCAGACGTTCTGCCCAGTGCTCTACAAAGTCGACTGGTAAGAAATTCTCACTGGACTGAAATGACGGATGTTATTAAACATTAAATGTTATAAATTTTATTGAAAGTATCTCTCTTCAGGCTGGGATCTGTGATGCTCCAGGTATCAGCTAGGAAAGCGTCATGGTTATAGTAACAAGTCCACGACTGCCCAATGCAGCAGTGGCAAAAGCTGTGTAGTTCCTAGAGGGAAGAAGGAGGCAGCAAGCAGAAGGTACAAGAAGGCCCTGACACTGCTAAGAAGAACATGCTCTGGCTGCAGCTGGCACTTTCCTTATCACAGGCATGGATGCATCTGTCACAAGTGCATAAATCAGAAGTTCCTCTTCTGTCCATTGCATGCCTCTCCAGCCCAGCGTAAAGACATCCTCCATGAGAGGATAAAGAAACTGAGAATTTTGGGAGAAGGGCAGCTGGCACATTGAATAAGCAAGAAAGGATGGAGGGAGACATCATGGAGCTTTTCCAGTTTAAAACAAATGCTGTTTGAGAGTGATGTTCCTCTAGGTCTTACCTTCCCGAATGGCTGTAAAGGGCACTCCCTCCTCTGCCTCCAGCTTGATCACTTTCAGTGCCACCAACTGGCTGTTGATCCTGTCAGGTCACAGTAGAAGGTCACATGAAGCTTCTCAGTGCTTGGCGTGATAACACGAACAGTCTCCCAAGCAAACACCCAAGCAAAATTTCTAGGGCTTGCTGACTTACTCAGGCCAAGTTCAGAAGGGAATTACAAACCTCCTCCACCTTGTGTTGATTAGCAGTGAGCTGGGAGCCAGCCGACCTGGCTAGAGAAGCACTGTGCTGATGTCCAGGTATTGCTAGAGCATGGCTTCGAGCATTCACCCCACTCCACCTTCTGACAGCTTTCCTGCCCCTGTGTGATGGCAACATGACCTCATGCCCAATTTTTCAATGATGCAGAGATCCCTCGCTTCAAGGAAAACCTTTGCTCCCTCCCTGGTTCAGCCAGACAATCTCCTGGCACACTGCTGTGGATCAAAGAGTCTTTGTGGTGCCTCCATGGCTGCAGTAGAGGAGTTCCCTGAAAAATTGGGATGGGGCTTTGCAAATATCTTGGTTAAAGGCAAAATTGCACTTTTGATTTGCCTTTATCTTCCATAGGAGGTGTTTCCAGCTAGCACTGGGAAGACAATATTGCTCACCTGCTGATCCCCTTGTACACAGTTGCACAGGATCCTTCACACAGCTTTTCTAGATGTACATAGGATGTGGCAGCTCCAAATGGGATGCCTTGTCTCTGCTTCATGGAGAAATTGGTATGTATTTTAGATTGATGAGTAAAACAAGAAGCTATTAGCAGGTCATTCAGTAATTAAGTACTGATTCATGGCTGGAATAACCATCAAATAAAATATCTCCTGTCTGGCTCTGTGGATGCTGCATCTCACCCATTTGAACCTCTCCACAACATCCTGCTCCTGGAAAGAATCAGTGTGTCCTGTAGAAAGAGTCACTGTGCCCTGTACCTCCAGCTCTGGAGGATGTGGAGCTGCAGGGGCTGCAGAGAGGGTAGAGAAAGGGATGCTCTGGTTACATTTAACAGCTAGCATAGGAAAAGGGGACAAACTGTGTCACTGGCAAACTACCATTCCACTGAGGAGTTGCTTTTCTTTCTCCTTTGAGAAATACACATCATTTTCATCTCTCTCTCTACCAGTCATAGATCTCCACTACTGTCTGTAAGGGGAGCAACTGTCTGTGTGTTCCTGTGTTGGTAAAAGGTACTCAGAACACACAAAGATAAAACTGCCTTAACTGCAGAGGGTACTTCTAACAGCATCATTCTAAATGCATGTCATTCCCCCTTACCCTTGAATTATTCATCTTTAAATAACCTGTTTGGGCAGGGACCAAAACCAAATGCAGAAGTGAAATCTCAGGAAGTTTACATGTATGTATTCTCCCCCTTAATCCCTCACCTCCTTCCTCAGCAGTGTATAATTTACATAGCCTGTTAATTTGGCCCATACAGCATAACACTGCTGTATACTACACAGCTATAAAAAAGGCAACAATGAATGGCAAGTAGGCTTCAAGCTCCTCCTGAGCAGCTGTATCAAATGGATTATAATGTGACAACACAGGATTTGCAATCTGTGGTGTGCTGCCTCCTCCAGAACTGTAGGTAGTTGGCTGCCTCCCTGTTTTACAATCTCTCATTGGCATAGAACTCACTGGAATGCAATCTTATCTCGCTGCTCATCACATCAAAGGCATTTATTGTCATCTAAGGTACAGATTACTCTTTCAGCAGCTTCACAAGCCTGAAGCTGCAAAGTTTGATGCTGTCTGGTTAGAAGCAAATGTGACAGCTTTGCACTCCCACAAGTGGAAGCACCCAGGCTTAGCCTATCTCAATGCAGAAGCATCACAATGTGGTATTAAATACCTCTGCTGTAGTCACTGCTTCCATGTGCTGAAGGCCTTGAATTTGTTGGGAGTCCCTTCTCTCTGAACAGCAGCTGGTGCATCCTGGTCTGACAGCACTTACACACAGGATGTCTCCCATGTTGTCCTGTTTAAATTAAACTGTATCTCTTTTTTTCTCCTTGCTCCTCCTCATCCCTCTGTGTCTGTAATAACAGCTCATATGACTCGCATGAGGTCTCTGCCTCAAACAGTCTTGTGATTTCTACAGTTTCTCTTTGAAAGTCCAAGTGCACCCCTGGAGCAGCTGCATTGATTTCAGTTCCTTTGATACACGCCCTCCAAAAACAGCCAACATTTTTCATACCTGAAGATGGAGAATTAATAAATCCAAACTTTCTGCTTTCTACACATTTCTTTCAGTTAAGCAACTCTCAGTGTAGTAAGTTGGATAATGAAGGGATAGGTTTCACACAGGAACAGGTCTTGACTTCCCTCCCTGCCTGTAACAGTTCTAAGCTTCAGACTTCAGCTCTCAGGTGAGCTTTCTGAGCACTGTGGCTGAGCTGTGCTTTCTGCAGGAGCTGTACACTGACTGTCCTTGCTCTGCCATTTACATCAGCACAGGGACCTGTCTGCCCCTGCTGGATTACGTGTCTAAGGGATGTGATGAGTTGTAGCTGATAGAAAACACTCTCGTCCATACGTCAGAATAACCAGAGCAAACTGATTAATCCCGCCTGCTGTAGAGCAGGCAACACACAGTGGATTTACCCTGGATGTGGACAGACAACAGTCCCCTTCTTTCAGTCCTCCATGAGCAGGACTCACTGTGCAGCTTCCTAGGACTGACACCCAACCCACACACAGAAAATGACAAGGGCTGAGGGAGCAGATATCATCCTGCGGTATTTTTGTGCTGACCCATTAGGTCCTTCAGTTTCATTTGAATGCATCACATAAATTCTTCCCTTTGCTTCACTGTTTTGATGTCCAAGAATAATACTCCTTCCTTGAGCAAAAGGATTTCTTTAAAGCAAAAATGTCTTGGGAAGGCAGGAACAATTTCTGTGTCTGTTGCAACAAAACCACCCAGGCCTTTGCATGGCAAGAAGGAGTTAACATACCTGGAAGGCTTGATTTCCTTCATGTGACTTTCTTTTGCACTCCCTTTAGCCATAATTTGCTAAATGGCTATCATCATGGACTTTGGTCTTCTCTTTATTTCCCAAGTATTCCTTGAGCCAGTAGGAAACAGCAGCAATTTAAATGTGCTGTCCAGGTATGAGAAAGGTTGTCTAGATGCAACACACTCAGTAACAAACTGGTTATGTAGTCTTTTATTGTGGAAAACAGTTTTTAGTGTTATGACTAAATAGTACTTGCATTTTAAAAGACTGGAAAGATAAATGCACAAAAAGTAGACAATATAAAATATACACATAAATTCATAAAATGATTGTAAATTTTAATCTTGTGTACTTTTTGTGCCAGGGAGTAGAAGGGAAATACTGTCACAAAGAGAAGTAATCCAACTTCTGCCAGGTAGCCAGAGCTGATAAATGAAGAAAGCATGCTTATAGCTGGTGATTGTCATTATTGAAAAAAATATATGGACTAATCATTACAGTTAGTGGAGGAAATACTCTAACAGAGATGTTTAATAGCTATCTTTAGAAAATATAAGAATTTATAAAGAAGAGCCTATACTGGAATCATGGCTTTTAAATGCAAGTTTCAGGCAACATAAGAAATAGTCGACTATGAGGTGACATAGCATTAAAAGTACATTTTACAAAACTTGTTTAAATAGAAACATAGGTATATACCCATGTAGGGATATATATATATAAATATATATAGTGTGTGTGTATATACATATTGTGTATTTATACGTACATATGGTGTATTTATATACACATATTTTAAATGTATTCTGTGAAATCTATGCCTGTAGAACAACTCACACAGACGCGTGTGCGTGACTCGCACAAACACCTGCACCTGTGGCATCGCACCCATTCAGAGCAGGCTGCTCCTGGGGAGAAGCTCCACACCGGGCCCTGCGGAAGGCGTGGCGCAGCTCCGCTCCCCGTTAAAGCAGCAGCAGCTGACGGGAGGGTTTGGGGAGCAGGAAGGGCCGGGCTGGCGCTGTCACTGATCCCGCACGGGCCGGCCCGGTGCTCCTTACCAGCGCCTTGAGTACCGCCTAACGCACGCCCACGTCTCGCTCCCGTCTCCGCCTGTTTTGTCCCGGGTAGGGACCCGTCGGCGCTCGCGCGGCGTAGGCCCCGCCTCCTGCGCGTCCCGCGCCCCGGCGTGAGTCAGCCGGGCGGCGCGAGGGGCCGCGGGCAGCGCGCGGCTGGAGGCGGCGCAGCGGCAACAGGTGCGGGGCGCGCGGGGGGCTGCGCGCGGGGTCGCGCGGGGGCTCGCGCGGGAAGGGCGAGCCGCGCCTGAGGGCGGTGGCGCTTCCCGCGCCTCCCGCACCTGCGCTGCGGGACCGGAGAGCCGGGCGCCACCGGGGACACGGGACAGGCCCCGCGCCGCCCCCGGCTGCGCCTGGGGACTTGGGGAGAGGCTAAAGAATGGCTCTGGCGGACCCTGGTTGCCCAATTCTAACCGCGCTGTGGTGGGTTGGTACAGCAGAGATACCGACGTGTATTTCCGTAGGGTCTGAAAGGTCTCCCTCTTGGTGGAAAGAGACCCCCGAGCTGTAATTGACATGCCCTTCATCTCCTTCCACTTTATGAGTCCTGTCCCTTTGCGTGGCTTGCTTGCTCAGGGATAAATGCAGTTCAGCTTTTGGGGCGTATCGAGTGATGGTACTCCTGTGGCTGCAGTATCCTGTACAGGTGACATAGTGTGCTGTCACTGTCACAGACCTCTTCCAGGACGAAAATACTTTGGTGAGCAACCCGAGTGGTCGTAGATGACCTGTAGTTAATCACTGCTATTGCAGGGCAGCAGCTTATGTAAACTAGCTGTACTTAACTACTTTGAGTTTCTGCAGAGTGAACTGTCTTCCGAAGCGGAAGCACATGAGAATGTGCTAAATTGAGGTGTAATTTCAAAAGAAAAAGAGGCAGAACGACATTCAGAATTTTTTGAGTCCTTTATGAGTGGTAAATTTAAAATTTTTAATTGCATACTGTAGCAGATAATCTTCAGCTGTGTTGATATTTTTTTCCCCGACTTTTTACTGCTGTATTTTGCTACCATCCTGCATTTGCTGGAACTGGCATTAAAAGCTTTCATCCAAAAAAAGTGCCCTCATCCAAAGGGGTCAGTACTGTCTTTCAGTAGCCAGTTGTTTTGTTTTATTTTGAGCAGATCTTAATCACACAATGTTAAAAGCAGTGGTTAGTGCTGACCAAAACACAAGGGCTTCTTTAACTGCGCACACATTCTATGTAAGCCACAGTTGCCAGCAGTAAATTATATTGACAATTCTGTTTTGAATGAGAAAGCTTGGAGACCACCTCTTCTGAACCTGAGTAGGTAATTCTGTATAACAAACATGCAGTCTTGGTCCTGCAAGTTATTGCTAAATGTGATGCAACAAATTTATTGAAAATGTGTTTAGAAATACGTAAGTAAACATGTATTAAAGCTGTAGAAATATTTGCAGGGTTCATTGGCATAGCAGGTAATTAAGTGCATGAGGGTCATGGGAGTTCTATTTCTCAAAGTCAGGGAGAAGTATTTCTCAAAGTCAGGGCCATACCAGCTGTTCTGTTCAGGATGTAAGGTTACCTTTGTACCTGTGGTGCTCGCTTAAAAATGGTCAATGAAGAGCACAGCCCATGATAATGAGAGTAGTGTTTGCTCCACGTCATTCCCAACCATGGTGGTTGTTACGCTGTGGTAGTGTTTGATTTCTGGAGAATTAGCCTTTAACTTTGTAAGTGGAGAGTATGACATCAGTGTCATGCCAGTGACCATCTGTCTGTAGCACAAATCCATTTCATAACTGGCACTCCTTGCTGCTTTCCACTTGCAGCGTTGAAAGAAAAATGTAGACGGTAAAAGTATGGGCAAAGAAGTGAAGGTGGTGGTATCACACTGAGCTTCCATGCAGGAGTGTTGTTTTGTGCCTGGATGTTCACCTCCATGAATCTAAATCTAATAACAATTTAGGTTATCTCAGTGGAAAGGAAATAATGTAGCTGTAATAGGAGAATAAGCAAGGAAAATGACGCGTTTCTGTTGGGAGGAAGAAACTTTCTATTACAATTACTTTACTTAGTTTGTAGCTGTGGCAAAGCAACTTGTAGTTTGCATTAGCTGTGAAATAGGAATAATGTTGTGCTGGCCTAGGAGTGAATGAAAACTTGAACTGAACTTGAAAGTGATTTCAAAATGTCTTAAAGATGTCTCATCTGTGGAAAGAAAACAGTTTGACTCTTGTTTTCCCTTATATGAGTAAATGCTTGGTAATGCAGCCCTAAGTGTGAGCTTCTGTAAATTAAATAAAATCTATCACTGCCATCATATCATGCTTGTAGTTTCTAGTTCACCACTGTTGCAGCTTTCTCACTTAATAATTATGTAAATAGTTTTTCAATTTGGCCTTGAAGGGGAGATCTTGCAAAACAGCTAATCAAATGCCTGTCTTTAACTTTGTTCTGTTACAATCAGAAGGTTTTATGACAATTACAATACATTTTTTGCAGTTGAGGCTCATGAAAATGAAAACAATTATTTGAGTACTTAAAAAAAGTCCATAAGTTCCAGAAGTCAAGAATTTTAAGCCTCAGTTCCTTAACCTCAAATAACTATATGCAGTGTAAATTATATATTTGTTGATACTTCAGTTACTCTATCAAAGTGTTCATCTCTTTGATTCAGTCTGATTTGATCCACTAAGTCTTTTTATTTGAAGCTAGAGTCCTTCACAAAGGAAAGGTGCCAACATTTTCAAGAGAATGAATTGTAGGGTTAGGTGGTTTTGAGCAGGCTAAAGAAAGCCCTAAATGTACCTGCTCTGAGCAAGAACACATCAGGAAGTAATGGTTCCAAAAATGTGCTTTCATTTTCCTTTGATGTTTCATCAACACCTCTGCTGCTGAAGCATTGCATGACAGTTCCCTTATGTTTGTGAGACTTTGTTAATATTTTAAAATTAACTTTTATAATTGTGAG